CTGGCTTCAAAGATGGTGATGGGATATTAAGGACGGGGCTGTTCTGGGTGGTGGCAAGAGCCTCGGCAAACAGGCAAAGTGGGCGCCAGCTCCACCCACTGCTTGGACCGCTCTTTCCTGACGACTCCTGCCCTGGCTGGCGTTCGGACCACGTTGCCCGTCTGTCACAGCTGTCAGGAGAACTGCAGTTTAGTTGCCCTTTTAAGAAGGCTTGACATTCTGTGGTTTAAAGATGGGAGATACACCCCAACAGCCCAAAAGATGGCCTCCAGTTGTACAATTCAAAGCTGCAAATAGTTCTGAAGCCTAGTGAGAAAGAGACTGCCTTCACAGTCATCTCTCAGTCCTCCCATGAGTCAAGAAGGAAGTCCCCGTCAGCACTAGCTTATCCTTAGCACGGTGCCAGCGTGTCCTCTGACGGAACCAGAGGTGCCATCCCGACTCCAGCTGGAATGTAGGATTGTTTTGTTTAGATCACATGTATTGGGGGCTCATCTCCCATTTACGGTATCTCAGGTTGCCTTTTAAAGTTAAGTTTAACTTAAAAAGAAGAGTCACTTTAGAAAATATATTAAGTAAAAATGTGGGGAAAATGGCGTTAAACATGGCAGTCACCTTGGGAGATGGTCCAGAGGTGGGCGGTGACTGCCAGTGTGACGCTGCTGCGTGGCCCAGACAGACGGGTGTGGGTTGTTTCCACTGAGCTGAACAGCAGCCAGCTTCAATGACAGATGCTTAGAAACCAGAATGATTTCATATTAGATGAGCTCTGAGGACAATCAGAGCTGTGACTTGCAGGGATGGTGGCCGAACTTTGGGAGGGGTGTGGAGGAAGGCCTCACTGGAGAGGTGACACTTTGGCTCAGACGTGGACAATGATTAGCCGTCCATCAAGTGAAGAGCTGGGACAAGGGCAAGGGCAGAGCCTTGAGGAAGAAGACAGCTGGGCAAGTGAGTAAGTGGCCCAAGGAGTGCGGGAGAGCAGGGCATCTGCAGCCAGTGGGGATGGCTAAGAGGTTACGATTTTCTCTTTGATGCCATGAGAAGAGATGCAAGGGTGAAAAGCAGGGAAGTAAAAGGACGAAAATGACTTTTCATGAAGAGTAGCCTGGCTGGAGAATGAGTTACAGGGAGACGAGCCGGCGCAGTAGTCAGAGAAGAAACGGTGGAGCTGGGGTGCCTCGGACCGGGAAGCGGGGAGGGGGGCCCAGGCGCCCGAGTCAGCGTGGCGGGCAGGTGGCGCCACGTGTGTGTCCCTGTAGACGGACCCTGGCCTCTGATGCTTCCTTCCAGGCGCTGTGTAAAGCACACACTGATCCTGGCTCCCTGGCCCAAGGCTGCTCTGAACCAGTGTGAAAACCACTGTGTCTCTGCCCAACACACGCCTCTCTCTTCGGTCATACGCTCCCCAAGTCCCCTTCCTGGACCGTTTATATGGGCACCGAGTTCTACTGCATGACGCACATGCTGTCTCACTCCCGCCGTCTCTCACACACACTACAGCCAGCATCCTTGGAGCACGCATTTTGTCCCCAAACACCAAATGGCCTCTCTCTTAAGTGTCATCCACTTTGGGCTCTTGTTGTTGTCCTAGTGAATTACCTCTTGCTTTCACATGACACACACACATAAAAAGTCCTGTGTCATCCACCTCTTGCTGCCACTTCTGCTTCCCTAGAACCCTGAGATTCTTCAAATATTTCTTTGCGCAACATAATTTCCTCCCTTTTTCTCTCGATGGGGAAGACCGAGTCCTGTGAGCTGGAACTCTGGACTAACCACCAGATTACCGCGACCAGGTGCCCTCTGGTTCCCTCTGTTCACTGTCAAGTTTCCGAAGCGTGGTTCTTCGCTCCTTATGGAGAGAAATTCCAGTAATTGATAGGGCATACCATCATTTGATTACTTGCCAAAGCTTTGACTTGAGCCTAACTTGCTTAAGTAAAAGCAAAAGTTTTTTTTTTTTTTAATGCCGTCAATGGGCCAAAATGCTGAAATCAGCTGTTATATTAATTAATGGCATCCTACTTTCAAGGAGTATAGAGTGTTGATGTTTAAGAATTTGTAACCCCCAAAAGTATTTATTAACTAGAAAATCACAGCACTGGAAAATAATTATGCCAAACCACTGTGCTATAACAGAACCCAATTGCTTATCCAATTATACATTAAAGTATCACATTGTCAAGCCGATTGCCAAAGCAGCAAATGAGCCTGCCAGCAGCACAGTTTGGACGC